TACACAGGCTGTGGTGTGAGCGAGGTGTCCAGGATTGTAGGTTGCAGTCATAGGCTACTGTTACTCCATCATGACTGCCAGTTGTAGATTCTTAAGAGGTAATCATTTTCCTCACTCTCTGAGCAGAGAGCAGCTGAGACATTTAAAAGCACTTGACACTGACAGTTGTCGCTGAGAAGCAGAAGTCCTCGATTTGGGAATCTCTAATTCCATTCTTCTCTTCAAGCCTTGTATTAACCCTTTGTATGATGGAAACTCTCATTACTATAACTTTGGAAAATTCTGAGAGTGCTGAATCACTCTTCCTTTCTCTGAACCTTCTGCACATTGTATTATGTTTAGTTCCGCATTTGGAAAAACCATTTATTCCAAGACATGTAGGAGTAATGTCACTTTTAACTTATCTTGTCTACTGTAGATACTCTCAGTTACTTCAATAACGTGTTGTAAATCCTTTCATAATTTAATTTGCTCTCTTACAAAACAGGCCATCTTCTGTCTTGCATTTGATTATTTGAGGGCCTGTTAGAGAAAGTGATTCTGTGGTTATCACTGGGTTTATACAGTTCTCATTCTGTGTTAGTTATTTCCACATAACTTACTGATTTCTTCCAACAATCCCAAAATAACCATTGAGTTTCAACCGTGGAATGTGTTGACATTCAGAAAGTTGAAAATCAATCATATCAAAAAATAAATTGCTGATGGAGAAAGCAGGATTTAAACCAGTGTCATGCAAGGCTTTGTTTGTTTCATGGTTGCATGGTGGTTCTTGTTGATCATAAGAATTTCCTTAATTTTTAGCCCCTAGAACTAGTTCATGGAAAAAGGGCTCATAGTATATAGTAGAACAAATGTTCTGTTGAAAACTGGCTGATTCTCTACTTTTTGGTCATGGAGTGAGTTCCTTTGTCAGCTGCCAACTGCTTTTGTTCTCCAGGGTGCTGTCTCTGTGGAATAGAATTGGAGGCTTCTCCATCAGGGATTCCAAGGCCAAATCTGGCAGGAATGATGTATAGGGACCAGTTTGTGAAACTTGGGGCTCCTACTGGCCACAGTACTTCCACAGAACCTCTTGGGATTACCTGTCTTAGAACTTGCAAGGTCCATAATGTAAAATTCAAATTCTGGTGTTTTTGACACAAAGAATCCCATATCCACTGAGTTTCTAATAATTAATGGCCCATTAAGTCATCTTGGTCATTGATTACTCTGATTTCTCCCCTTACTTGCATCTTTCTTTGATTAGCTGTCATGGACCTGAGTCTAACGGAAACTGAAGAGGGTGGGGCTTTAGATTAGGAACTCAGGGAGGCTCTGAGGGCCTTATGAGCAAGAATTTAGCTTTCCTCTCCCAGAACACGGCTGTCACTGTGATTGTTCTGGACTCTCACTGTTTGATATCTTGTATTCTTCTGTCAAGGAGTTTCTTATCATTTTAACTTCTCTGTCTCCTTATCACTGTGACTTCAACACAGCCATGGCTCATAACCTATTTCTTTTAAGTTTCATTGAAATAAAAAATTATTTCTGGTTTTTTTTTAGTTCAAACACTTTAAAATGAGAATTTGATTTATTATCCAGTTATCTTTTTTCCAAGTTGGGAAGTACATAAATTAAAAATCTGTAATAAACAGTCAGTGTAATAAATGGTTGGTGTGTCCAAGGGGGCAGTTATGAGACCATGGCACTCATACTTTTGAGCTGGGCTCTGGAGTGACATTGTGATGCATTTTCTATCTTACTGCCATCAGATTTCATTGTGGAACTTTCTTGAATTGTCACTCAAACATATTGTTCTAGTATATGACATATTAACCCCTTCCTTGAGGAACATGTTCAATTTTAATTTGACTAGAAAGACTCTATCTCTTTGTCTTTGTCTCTGTCTCTCTTTCTGTGTAAAGTTAGAGGTAGTGAGTCCATGTATTAGAATATGTTTAAGTATGTGATCTCCAAGGAGTTTTTTTTGCTACTTTCATCTGTAAATTATAAGATTCTAAATTTGAAGTTTCTTTGAGGCATCTCAAAGATAGATCTAACAGGAGATCTAAAGTTGTTGAACAGAAGCAGACTTTGTCTGACTGTGTGAATGAGAGAAACCAGAGCAATAAAAGAGACATTGTATTTTATAGAGAAAAAGTGAGGAAGAGCTCTGAGAACCAACAGCACAGAGGCTAGAAACTTGAACAGCATGGAGAATCAGGAAGTAAATATGAAGTTGCAGAGGAGCTTTAAACTTCAATCTTGGCTCCTGGCTGGAGGCAGGGCACCCAGTGTCACACGCATAAGGTTAAGAGTGAGAAGAAAATCAACCCCCGCTATTAACAACTGATGGGCAGTCCTACTGGCAGGAGAAATCAGTGGTCTACACAAGTCTTTAATCTAGTTTTAGGATTTGGTTGAGTGATTGCCTCCACAGTGAGCTAGGAGAAAAAGCCCTCTAAATCACTTTGCCACTGTTTTTGGGTAAAATCCAGAATTTGGGACCTCACAGGTCCTCTGAGTAGTCAGCTATTTGCCTTCTTGCTCAGACTACCCATTTGAACCATCTTGTTTCTGAAGAGTGAAATTTTCAGATTCAGTTGAATACTTTTGTGGTTTTACCATCTTGTAGACATCATCTAAGATGATGTTTGTGTGCTAAGGTGGTAAGCACAAGTGAAAGACAGACTCTTTCTATTCAATTCATGTTGATTGTTCATCTGCCTTATTGGAGGATTTTTGAGCCCAGATCTGTCTGCAAATTGCAATTTAATGTGTTTGACAGAGTTTTCAACTCCTGGGAGATGTCTGCTCTTTTTGATTTAGAGCTGATTATGGGTATTGTACCCTCCTCTCCTCTCCTCTCTATTCATGTACACAAGCAAGTGATGATTCTAGGAGTTAAAAGATTCGGGAGGGTCAGTGGAGAGAGAGAGACAGAGAGAGAGAGAACGGACAAAGGGGCCGGACCATGTATATTTCCCAAGGACTCACTCCCACGATCCACTGCTTTCGACCAATGTCTCTCCTTACTTCCTCTTTCCATCATTTCTCAGTAATGACACAGGATTATGGTCTCATTAATGGGTTAATCCAATGATGAAATCAGAGCTCATGGTCCAATCATGTCTAAAGCCCACTAACAACTATACCTTGAACACAAGTCTGTACAATGAATCCAACCATAACACATCCATTCTCTACCCCAAAGTAATAAAAACCTGAAAGCAAGTACTTTGAGTTTTGTGCTAGTATAATGACACTGCTTTTTGAAACTCTGTCCCTGTATCTTGATGCCTATGGGCAAGATCTTCTGTAATGTGCCTAGCTAGGTCAGTGAGATAGCTAGGTTTTGGGTTATGTGAATCTTTGATTTTAAAAGGATATTCCTGTCAATACGATGCTATAATTATTTTTAATTTTTGCTAATCTAGGAAGCATATTGTGGGTTTAAATGTGTTTTTTTTTAATCACTAATAAATACTGGTCTGGTAGTGGTTGGGATGGTCTCTCCCATGGTCAATCTGGTTTTTTTATTCTAATCTCTTTCATGTTTAGCTTAATAATGCCCATGGAAAATTTTTTTTAGCATGGGTCAGGTGTTTGTTTCTGAATCAAGTAGCTTCAGAATATGTGGCAGATCATTTTATTAAATGCTTATTTTCATCTGGAGGATGAACTATTTAGAAAGTCCAGGTGGGATAGAGAGGTTCATTGGGCACAAAATGATATGTTCAGTGAAAAAGACATCCTTTGGCTCTCTTTGACCACATGAAATTCAAATAAATGCACTCCCAGACCCCTGTGAAACATGCCAGTTTATTTTTGGTTGCAAAGAATTGAGTTCATTGCTTTTCACCATCGCTGGTTCCTAAACATTTTTATTTTGCCTGTGGCTATGAAATTGTGGTAAAGTCCTAGAATTGACATAAGAAAGTGAGGGAAAGAAAAAGAAGGTGAATAATCTATACTGAATACCTAATTTGGGCTAAAGATTTCTTATTTATCATCTTGAGTTTTACAATGTCTTCTCGAAATAGGAATATTCATGCTTGTGCTTGACCTGAGAAGTTAAACTGTTACCCACAGTGTCACAGTGACTTGGTGGTAAAAATCAAGATTTAGAGACAAGCCCAGCCCCTGCCTTTCTACTGCTGCATGCATGAAGTACCCTGAATCATGCGAAAAATGTTTTCTTAATTGCAAATTTAGGAATTTCATATTTAACATTGTCTTGACTCAATTTAATATTGTCATAAACTCAAATGAGACCAGGCACACAACATAAAAATCCTTTCAAAAGCAGCTGACTTCACCTTCCCAACAGCCTTGATGATGAGCAGGTAGGAGATCAGGATGGTCAAGGCATTGGCTGGAATCACAAAGCTCATCTGATCTAGATCATGGACTTAGAATGAAGGAGGCACAGATTTTGTTTTTAAGAGTTTTGCAGTCTGAAATAGGGGCCTCCATTGCTTTTCTTTCTTATCATATCTTGAGAGGAGGTAAACTATGGTTCAACTGTCTTTCTGCCTCTGTCCCTGCTCATTAATGTCACTGTCCCTTAAAGCAGAATGCTTGATAAGTGACAGCTGTTCATGATGTGGGCAGTCAGGAAAAGAGAATCAATGCTCTGTGTCTTCTAGAAACTGGAGATGTCCCTAGCAAGACATCCCCATGGGATGACCATGGTATAACGTTAGAGCAGGAACTGCAAAGTCATGAGTTATCATGTGCAAAGGCATTTGAAAATCATTATCCTGGCTTGAATGAGAAGGAAGACACTGTAAGGGGGAAGAATCTCATGGTGAAGAGGAGAACTGTTTCCAAAGCATCTTCTTCCTTCAGCCAGTTAGACAATCAATTTCATTTTATACAATACTCCTTGATAATGGAAATGATCAGTCACTCACATATTAAAATGCAAATAAAAAGGAAGGCCATTTAGCATGATCACAGAATCTCCAGATATGATCTTTGATGCTGAGAGCACAGTGATGTTGCCAGGAGTGAAGACGAGAGGGAAAGGGGGTCACAGTTTGGGGTAGGGATGAAATAACTCAAGACTTCAAGTCCTGTTGTGTGCCCAGGAATAAACTGGAAGTGGGAGAGGATGAGTAGAAGCAAGTACTATTATGGAATTGCTGGCTGCCAATTTTACTACATGTTTCTGTGCTCATTTGATTGGAGACACTTTTCTGCCTTTTCTCCACTCATTGATACAAAATGCCTAAGGTGTTGGTGCCTATTAGGATGTATTGATGTGGGAACGAAATTGCTTGATATAAGATGTTTTATCCCTAGGTCTACATGCTGTGGAATATCTGGAACCTACCAATGACCTTCTTGAATGCTGCTTTCACATCTTGGTTCCTCAGGCTGTAGATGAGAGGGTTCAGCATGGGGATGACCATGGTGTAGAAGACAGACACCACCTTGTCCTCCTCCAAGGACTTGCCTGAGCTGCTCCGTATGTACATGAAGACAAGGGTCCCGAAGAAAAGGGCCACAGTGGTGAGGTGGGAGGCGCACGTGGAGAAAGTCTTAGCCCTGCCTCCTGGAGACTTCACCTTCCCAACAGCCTTGATGATGAGCAGGTAGGAGATCAGGATGGTCAAGGCATTGGCTGGAATCACAAAGTTGCCGAAGGTGACAATGATGATCTCAGCATTTGTTGTATCACTGCAGGCAAGCTTCAGCAGGGGTGGGAGGTCACAGAAAAAGAAGTTGATGCGGTTGTCTTCACAGAAAGATAGGGAGAAAGTGCACGTGGTACGCAGGATGGACGCTGACACCCCACAGACATAGGCTCCAACCACCAGACTCCAACAGATTATGGGTTTCATGGCCACCGTGTAGAGCAGCGGGTTGCTAATAGCAATGTAGCGGTCATAGGCCATCACAGCCAGCATGAAGCACTCTGTTGCTGCACAGGTTGTGAAGAAGAAGAACTGGGCAGCACACTGGGCATAGGAGATGACCATTTGACCTGTAGCCAGGGTAGCCAGGATCTGAGGGGTGATGACCGAGGTATAGCAGGCATCCAGCAGGGCCAGGTGGCTCAGGAAGAAGTACATTGGAGTGTGGAGCTGGGCATCCACTCGGATGAGAATAACCATCCCCATGTTCCCCAGCAGGGTGACAAGGTAGAAGCTGAGAAACACCAGGAAGAGGGGTATCCGCAGGTTGGGGTGGTCGGTAAAGCCCATGAGGATGAACTCAGTGACTGAGCTGAGATTACTCCAAGCCATGTATTCACTGTGGACCACTGCTCAGAGGGTGAGAATAAGGTAAAACAAAAGTTCCAGAAGTGAAGGAGAGGACTTTTTCTCAGTGGCAGAAGTTAAGGTGATAATTCTGGACCTATTTACAGATGTTGATTTGCAGAAATTCTGAGACCGGCTGATTCTCCTTGGGTGTCTCTTGTATGGTGGAGCTGAGCCTGGAGCTGGTGCTTCTGATACAGATGAACTTTGGTTTAGATTTGGAAACCGCTGTGAAGATGAGAAGCATGTGACTCTCAGGGTTGGAGGGCCCAAGACAGCATGTGTGGTGTCCCCATCCAGGGCTTGAGTCTCCGTTATTGCACACTTTACCCAGTCCTCTGGGCCAGTTCCCCTGCTCGATTTCTCAGGAACTGGATTCCACCTCTGCACCTCCCACACTTTGATCTTGGTTTTATCCCTTCCAGATACAAGGACTTTCATCCCATCTTCTCACGGGAGCCTTCCAGATGTTGGAGGATGGCGAACCTGCTCTTCGTCTTCACTGCATCCTCACAGTACGCATGGATATTACTTTCTTCCTATTGAATGACTTTTCAGGCAGGTCACCAAAAATTCCTTTTCAGAGAGCATTAATCAGTAACTAAAAGTATTTCTCTTCACTTTGTTATCACCCCTAGCTTGGAGACTGTCATCTTCAGCAAAATGTATTTTAAAACTTTTTCATTATTTGTAATACCATGATTTTAAAATAAATGAATCTTGCTGTATCATCCAGACCAGATTTGAACTATATAGCTTGGGCTGGCCTTGAAATCATGATCCTCTTGCCTCATCCTCCTGAGTGCTGTGTTTGTGGGGTTGTATCATCACATCTGACTGATATCACTATAAATAAAATATTCATGGTCTTGCTATTTTTGCATGAGTTTGGGCAAATTCCCTAATCCTTTGTGCCTCAATTTGTTACCCCTTACATAGGAAAAGTATTGATAAATAGTCAGGTTATTTTGAGTGTTAAATAAGTTAAAACCTGTAAGGGGCATAGTGTAGTATCTAGCACAGAAAGAGTTAAGTAATTTAGCCCTTATTATTTTACTGTGATTATTATCCTTTCAAGGTTGTATCTGTTGACTTCTTTTTCTGAAAGATAAGGCATTTCACTCACATAAACTTTGCTGTATTACTATCTATACCTCTTTAAATAATATATTTGCTTGTCTCTATCTCTATATATCAATGGATATATCTGTCTTTATTTGAAAGCTTCCTCAGGATCTGTTGAAAATCCCCTTCTATGTTTGGAGCTACTGGGACTCTGGCGCCGCGCTACTCCAAGCCATTAGGCCATTAGGCCTACAGAACCAGTGGCCCTCCTCTGCCTGCTCAGAACTCCGCAGTTCCAGACAAGCTGGGCCTCAGGGACACTGTGCGCCCACCTGCCCCTTGGAAGCTCCACAGTTCTTCAATCTCAGCCGGGTTAGGGTACTCACCACAGGCCGCAGTGCTTCAGGAACCTGTGGACCCTCCCTGGTTGCAGAGATATCCACAGTCCTCCAGACACGCAGAGAGGCCAGTGAGGGCACCCCAGATCTGCCCAGCTCCTCCTCTGCAGACCTATGGCCAGGCGCGGCAGCTAAACAGGCTGGGCTAGGCTGGTAGTGTGGGCCAGCCCACCTATCGGGCGCTCAGCAGGTCTCCAAATGAAACCAGGAATGGGGAGGCTGATGTGGAAGCCTCAAACCCACCTCTCTCCTTCACTGCACCTGGAAGCCTGAGGGAACTCCAGCAGTCTGGGCGCAGAAATCCAGAGTCCTCCAGACATGCAGAGAGGCCAGTGAGGGCACCCCAGATCTGCCCAGCTCCTCCTCTGCAGACCTATGGCCAGGCGCGGCAGCTAAACAGGCTGGGCTAGGCTGGTAGTGTGGGCCATCCCACCTATCGGGAGCTCAGCAGGTCTCCAAATGGAGCCGGGAATGGGGAGGCTGATGTGGAAGCCTCAAACCCACCTCTCTCCTTCACTGCACCTGGAAGCCTGAGGGAACTCCAGCAGTCTGGGCGCAGAAATCCAGAGTCCTCCAGACACGCAGAGAGGCCAGTGAGGGCACCCCAGATCTGCCCAGCTCCTCCTCTGCAGACCTATGGCCAGGCGCGGCAGCTAAACAGCGATATATCTGTCTTTAATAATTGAGGAAATTTGGACTCTCATGTAGATGAAATAAACTTGTTATATTTTTTCTTTTCATGCATTAAAAAAACTTCATCTTTTACTTAATTTATGTTGCAATGCCTGCAATTCTAATTAAATCTTCTGAGTTCTGTCTATGAATTAATTAGGAAATAGTAAGTGATGCTTCTCTGTTGTGATTGCGCACATGCAGTGCACTAAAAGACTAAGCAACATAATTGGATCTGTAGAGGAGAAACGTCACTATACTTCTGCTGCTTCCAGGAGAGGCTTTCAAACATCCTGTTAGATGCTCTTTTTTTGTATGTTACTGATCAGTCTGGATAATTATATCTAGTGTGCTTTATATTTGAGTCATGGTAACTTTCTGTTTGCTAAAACTTCTTGTTCCCATCTGGCATGGTTGTGAGTCACACCATGATAAGATGTGCTTACAGCTCACTGTTTTCCAAGTCCATCTAGAATTCCCATTAGAGGGCCTGAGAGTCAAGAGATCCTGAGGGATGTTGCATGGAGCCCAGATTCACAGAGTCTTTTATAAAAAGTACCTCTCCTGTTCTACACTTCCCACTCACTGTATCTTACACATTCTGACAGCAGCCCCACCACCCAGGAAGGCACCTCCTCTGTTCTGGATTTATATTTGGAAACTTCTGTGATGAGAAGAGATGTGATCTTACAACCTTCTGCATACAATGTCTTACACATTCTGAGTAATAATCCCACTGCAAGGAAGCCACCTCCCCTCTTCTAGATCCTTCCACTCACAATATCTTATAGGTTCTGAGCAACAAGCCTACTGGGGGAAATTTCAATCTTACTTATGGATAAGACATAATATTCACCCTCATGAATATGCACAGTTCAGCTGCTCATTACTGAGTACATGAGATGGAGAACTCGGGGAGGAACCGGGGCTCACATCATCTAAGTCTCCTGATTCCCACTCCCTGCACTGCTCCCCTGGAAACTTTCACCTGCCCCCTACACCATGTTCCTCATTCTTCAGGTTAGAATTTTCTAACACAAATTCTCAAATCTATAGTTAGTTCCAGGAATGCACAATAACATCATTGAGTTATTTTATACTGGCACAGCGAGGCCCTTTACTTGCTGTGGCAACATGAAACTGCCATTTCCGATAGAATCCATCATGATGCTTTCATGCGTATGCATTTGTGACCCCAGAGAGCCAACATGAGCTTTTGCACTGCACTATATCCAGGACATTTGAAGTTTTTTTTTATTTTGATGAAAGGTCTTGCTAAGTCACCAAGTTGCATAGGCTGGATTTGAATTTGTGATCTTCCTGCTTCAGCCTCTCAGAGTTCTGGGATTAGAGGTGTGTATCACATCTGGCTATACATCTTTTTCACATATTTTATACCCATTCACATCTGTTCTTGCTTCTATATCCTTGAGAGTGGGCATGATTCATAACCATTACTTTGTGATGAGATAACTGACATCTTCCCAAAATAACTTGCTCAAAAGCCAAACTGCTATGTTTGCAGAGCTGCGCATAGCAGACAGGCTCTCTGGCTTCCAAGGGAACCTTGCTGGCCTCATCTCCCATCTAAAGTCTAGACAGGTCTTGTGCTTACAATGAGGCTTGGGAATCTGTCAAACACGGCAGCCATGTGTTTGACACAGCTTTGTGGAAGGGCAGTGGAGACTGCTCTTGAGTCCGGAGCTTCCTCCAGCTCCAGACAGGGGTTGCTGGTGGGAGGGACACATGGAAATCACGTGTCACATGCCCTTCTCAGGCTGTTTAGCCCCTCCACTGCAAGATCCAAGGGTGAGGAAGCCTCTCCGAAGGCCCTCTAGGAATTGTTCCAGCTCCACAATGTCCATGACTACCACAGGCACTAGCTAGCTGAGAGGCCTACTTCCTCTCTTTGGGCCTCACTTCCTGCTCTGAAAAACAGTGGGGCTTGTTTACAGGATCAGTGGAGTTCTTTGTCTCTCACAAGCCCTGATTTATGTCAGGGTATAAAGGCTTAAGGAGGAAGTTGAAAGGATTTCCCCATTACCCACACAATGATGAATGTGCACAGTTTAGCTACTAATCACTGAGTACATGAAGCATGCAGAATCTAGCTCAAGTGACTGACAGTTACTTAAACATTTCAGGTCCAAAATTAAATGAATTATAGTATTAAGTTCCTAACAAGATTATCACGACCAAAGTGAGGCTGTTCATCTGATGTTACTGTTTTCCTGATTCTCTTCCATCTCTGCTTCTTCCCCACTCAAGATTATTCAACACACGCATCCTTCCATGTTCTTGTCATAAGTACTTACTTATATGTACTTTGAAATGTGTATATGAAGAAACAAGTATATTAAGTATCTGAAATTTTGATACAACTCCTATTTTCTTTTTCTACATTCTCTATTTTTAGGATTTTGTCACCGTAATGTAAGTGGATCTACTTTGTTACTGTGATTTTATTACAGTCTTTTGTTTGCTGGGGTACATTTTACTTACCCATGCTGCTAAAGATTTTGGACATATTATCTTATTGCATCTGAGAAATTTTCCTTTAGAAAGTTATCATCTATTTTTACTGAAGGGGAATTTAAATCACTGAGAGATTAGCTTGTATAAGATTACCAGTGGAGGTGGAAGAGCTGACTGATGGTACATCCTGTGCTCTTGGCCATGAATTTGTTTTGTCGCCTTATATTTTACTGCATCTTTATGATTTGTGAAATCAAAAACGTCTCCCAGTAGCTAATCAGATCCTTTCGACTTTCAAACCAGAACTTGGCTAATTTCAATACTTTTCTCAGCATTTAATGCTGAAATTGCTAAAGTCCACTTCCTGCCTGTCTCATGGCCAGTTCCTGGGGTTCAGAGCATCTGACCAGAGGTTAGGAGGCAGATTATTGGGGCACAGATGCAGCCACAGGGGGTTAGTACCGTGCACATGTGCACACCAACGCACCCCATGTTAGCTCTGACCTTGGCTGCTGTCCTGCAGGGTGGGACAGACATGCCCATTTTATGGGGCACCATAGTGAAGCACAGAGAGGGCGAGGGCATTGTCCACCTTGCTTTATACCTAGCAGAGAACAGAATCAACGTTTGAACCCCCAAATCTCTAACTCCAAATCCTGTAATCTTTCACACCACATTGCCCTTTTGCGAGAAGAGAATTACAGACCCAGGAAAAGGAGGCTGTGTTAGCGCTGGTGAGCGGAAGGTGGATGTGGTTATGTTCATCACTTGATAAGGAGTCCACAGAGGGAAGTGAAATTTTGCTGAATGCTCTGTTCACAAACTGGGATTGTTCGTGCACAGGAGCATTCATGAACCGAGGCATTGCTGTACTCTCTCAGC